TATTGAATATTTAACTAAGATTTTTAGATAAAGTTCAAATTTACTTTTAAAATATTATAATAAGAATAGAAACTTAGATTAATTTACTTATAATCTAAATTAACTGAAGTGATCAAAGCTTATCTATATTTGAATATTAGTAATAATATATAAGAATCTATATTTTTTTCTATATATTTGTTTTTAACTAAATATAACTTTTATTATTTATCTTTTTTATTATAGGCTCAAGTTTTGTTTTTTAATATATTTCTGTATTTTTTTAATTTTTTGTTTCTTGATAATTTTTGATCAAAAAATCTACAAAAAAGAGTATATTTATTTTTTTGAAAATTATCAATTTTGTTTTTTTTTTGTTTTTTTAAAGTGATCTTTTTGGTCTTTTGATTTTTATTAATAACTTATTGGTAATATGATTCTATAAACTATTACAAGAGAGAGTACAATTGGCTATATATGTAACTTTTCTATATTACTTATTTAAGGAGTTTACCTGAAGATTCCTTATTAATTGCTATATCTAATACATCTGCTTAAGTATTCTACTTTAAACTTTCTGAACCTGTAATCTGTATTAACTCACTAGGTCATACTCAGATGCCCAAATCATCATCTTAATCTTAAAACTAATTTATTTTTAAGATAAACCTCTTAAAATCTTCTGTACTTATTTTTATAGCTGACCTAGATATTGCTATAGCAGAACTAACACTTGCAGTTAGAGTTATATCATTTAATCACTATGTCCTTGTAGAGTTTACACAGACTCTAGCATCTATTTCACAATATAACTCTAGTACTTTAGTATATCTCTGACTTTTGTTTAAGTTTTTTATCAAACTTTTAATTCAGATAGTCTATATAAGACTATAACCAGTTCATCAGTTTATCAGGTTGGCCTAAAATTCTTTTTCTCTAATTTATTTTAATGACCTAGTTAATGGTATCTCCAAGACTCTCAATCCAAAGATAAATCATCAATTTTATTATAATTAATAATTATAATTATAATAGTAAAACATATAAAAGAGGATGACAATTCTAGTACAATAGTTAGATTGTTATTCTCCAAATGATAGGTCTAAAGTTTAAATATCAGTTATGACAAAATTTAGAAATTATATCTGTATTATGATAACTGTCTTTTGTTAATTGATTAGTCTCATGCAGCTGTAATCTAAATATACCAAATCAAGTCCTACTGATATTAGAAGCTTAGAGCATCTATATAAAGTGTAATATTATACATACATAGAGAAATGTATAACCAGTATTGTATAAAACTTTAGTGCAAACTTATAATAAGATTGCTAAATGTAGAAGACTAAGGAAACAAGATGATAGAAACCTATTTGAAATTACTGAGTAAAAAGATAGTATAAATTTTCAACAGTATTATTAGACTAGTTGAAGTTTATAAAACATCTTCATAGAAACCAAATTTTAAAATTGGATACAAAATATATGTAAAGGAGTACATAACCAACCAGATTACCAGACTTGTTAGAAGAAAAGAATACAGAAGTATATCATTTAAACTATCTGAATTAGTAGTCTAACAAAAGATTACTAATTCCAAGTTGTAACTAATAGAAGATAATAGAGAAGATATCAGAAAGATATATACTAGAGTTCTAGTGAACTTTACAAGAATAAAAATAATATAATATAACAGTTAAACAGGTAACCTCTATAACTACAAATATTAAATAACTATAACATATTGTATAAAACTAGGTCAGTATGTATAAGACATAAAGGCTCTAGTAAGTTTTCTGTTAAGAATAAAATAGTAAAAAGAATACTGATTAGCATTGAGAACTTGGATGGGTGTAACCTTGAAGATGTTCTCATAATACAAAATGGATTACATATGCAGAGAGTTTAAATAGGCAAGACCCCTAGTTGACTTGCAAGTATGACATCTAGTGTAAAATTTATATAACAATGTATAAATAGATTACTTAAATTAGGCACTAAAAGTGCACATGTAACTAGTTGTAACCTTTAATGTAAGGGAGCCCCTAGAGGCAACCCATGTCTTATTTACTTAAATAAAAATGTTGCATCCCAAAGATTGGAACTTTAACATTAAAAAAAAAAATATTCAAAATTTAGATTGCTATAACTCTTAAACAAAAAATAAAATTATATTTGTTGGATTCATATTAATGTACTCTTTAAAATAACAATGTGTTTTTATTTATTTATGTTGATTATTTTAAACATAGCAGTGGATTCAATTTCATGCAAATTGGTCGTTTTTGATGTATTCTTAATAAAAACATCAATAACGTAACTATAAAAATTTTGCCTTCTCGTATAGTGATCGACAAAAGATTCAAAGTTACGGTTTTGATATTTTCATTAAAAAAACATCAAAACGATAAAAATAAATTTAAAAAAGGCGTTGCAACTTTAAAAAGTACACTAAAATGAACCCGACAAATATAATTTTATTTGTGTGGGTTTAGTTATTGCTACCACGATGTCGATTAATGATTTCACTATACACCTGCATGTTTGTAATTGGATATGCATTAGACACCCCAGTAAAAGATCGTATACGAGACCCGGGTTTTTACATTATACCGTAATATACTCGAGTTATAATATACGACTGAGCGTTTATATTGTAAAAATATATATTTTATGGTACTGAGTCCCAAAAACGTGAAATGATCACGTGAAAATGCACGAAATGCACGAAGTGCAATTTATTACATTTTATATAAGGGACGGCATTTTAGATGTAGAATGGTATATGGGAGGATAAGGGGAGGATACCATTAAAAATTAAAAATCCTTAAAATAACTGTAAAGAATTTTATATAGTTTTATTAAAGATTCAATATAATGTCGCATTTGTAAGAGACGAAATTGGGTAATATGAATAAAGGCCGAAATGGCCCTAAGAACATTATGTCTCGTTTGTTTTATTAAATAATAAGTCACAATCTTATACACTGTCCACAATATTACATTAACACTATACCCAGTATAAACCTTATAAACCCCATAAAAGCTGTCCGTTTAAGTTCTTGATCACGTGACTTAATCTACCTGACTTCGCTGACCCAAGTAACCAAAGCCTTAATCAGTCACTAGCCAAATCTAACACCCCACTTTCGTGAGGTCACTTATCGTTGGTTACACGAGATTTTGGATTGTGGAGCGACAGAGTCGCAGTTTTCACAGTACATACACAATTTGCGTTTTTAATAAATAGTCTAAGTTTTGAAAAAATCGCATTCAGTGATTAATATGTGGGTCAAATTCTATCAAAGAGGATTTTGTATACGATCTTTACGATACGTATTATAAAAAGCATTCGCTTCACATTTGTTACTTAAAGTTTGCATTGCACAATGGTCTTGAATAAAGTTCACGTGAGGTTAATATTGAATCGAGCGATTCATGCATCATTCGATTTGTCCTTAAGGGCGAATCAAATTTTGCATGAATCGATTAAACATATCCCTAGACACGAGATATTTCTCAATAATAATATATATGTACGTACGTACGTTAGTGTGCCTGACACACAAAAGAATTTGCCTTGTCGTGTAGCCTTTTGTCAGAATTTGTGCCAGGATGCCACTATAGAATACTACTGGCACACCATAATATAGTTACTACAGTATATATTATACGAAATCTACGTATTAAGCTGCTAACATTACAAATATATTTTTATATTGTACTCAGTGGCATGCCAAATTAGTTTTGGCATGCCCATGATAGGTATGCTATTCATCCTAACACTAACGTACGTACATACTGAACTTTATCAAAAATGTCCCTTTTCATTCGGGTTCTTTATATTTCCAAATAATTAAAATACAATTTAGCTCCTTAATGTTAATACTGCTTTGCAATAATAATAATAATAAAATGCAATAAATAAAGTATTTATTTCAATTTATACACGGAGAGGCTTATTAAACAATAATGGCTTATAACATGTTATGGCTTATTGACTAATTATAGGTTATGACTTTATGACTCAGTGTTGGCAGCAATAGATGAATAGAACAATAGAATAGAGCAATAGAATTTAGAATAGAATAAAAATTTGTCAATAGAACAAAAAATTGCCAACAAGGTTATAATTAGATATTAATACAGCAATAAATAAATAGAACAATAGAACAATAGAATAGAGTAATAGAAATTAGGATAGGATATAATTTTTATCAATAGAACAAGAAATTGACAACACGTTTATGACATATAAAATTTACTATGACACCTTGGTCATATAAAAGTTGGATATAACTTAAAATGCCCAACGTTGATATTTAAATTAGGGTTCTGACGATGCCTGTGCTGTGGCACCTACAGAACCCTAATTTAAATATACCCTTTATAAATTCAGACTGTTAAATTCTCTTTAAATGCGTGCACTAGTTCAGTCCCAAGTATTTATAATCTATAAGATCACTATGATGTCAAACCATCTTCAAATAAGAACACATGTTTTATTTAATTAATCATCTATATCGATGTTCTTTTCGTATAACAATAATAAAAGATTATCATTAGATTAGTATTCAGTACGTATTATGAAAAAGTTTGACTTAGATAACAGATAAATAAAGTAAAAATTTTTTGCCCAACCTATGAGATCCAATATGGATAAATTATTGCCTGCTATAAGATATGCATATCGATACGTAAAAAAAAAAAAAAGGCATTTAAAAGATGGAGATTTGAAAAAATAAACTAATTTAAAGATCACGTGAGAAAGTATAAAATCAGTCGCATGTTGTAACGCATAGCACGCGTTTTTTAGTACAAATTGGGGGGTTTGAGATTCGGGGGTTCTATGGCGAAAATCGCTCATCGTACAAAAGGAAAATAATGATATGCAGTGATATTGATATGCAGGTGACATTTAGTATAATGGATTTTATATTTTTTTAAATTAAAAATTCATAATAAATTATATAAATAGCAAGATTTGTTATTTTTTTTTTCATTTCCACCAAAATATTTCGATGGCAACAAATATTGACCTTCATAACCAAGATATATTCGAAAACGCCAGCAGTAATGCACGATCAATTTCGAATTTTGATAATTCTCAACTGCATGAACAACCAGAAGACGCGAAAGTAACAACCATGTTTGACATTATAACAATTCCTATTCAAGGAATGACTTGTGATTCCTGCGTAAATTCTATAATAAAGGTGGTTTCTTCGTTAGGAGTCGTAAAAATAAATGTTAGTTTAGAAAAAAATGAAGCAACAGTAGCTTATGATTCTAGTAAAACCACAAAAACAGATATTATTAAGGCAATAGAAAATTGTGGTTATGAAACGCAAACTCCTGTAGAGGCTCAAAACAACCATGCCACTATTGGTTTGTCAATAAAAGGAATGAGTTGCAAATCTTGCGAAAATTCGGTCACCTCTGCGTTAAATTCGACACCCGGCGTTATTAATATTTGTGTAAGTCTTGAGAATAGATGCGCCATAATAAAATATGACACTTCTGTATTAGACGAAGGTAATATTATTAAAGTCATTGAAGACTGTGATTATGAAGTTATCGCCGGTGGTTGTGAAATCTCTGAAGAGACGGCAGAGACTGCATCTCTTGCAAGTATTTCTCATAATGATCGATCAGTTAACAATGCTTCTGCACTTTCATCGGTTGAAACCCACGAATTCGATCCTAATCAACTTCGAACATGTCATATTCAAGTGCACGGAATGAGTTGCGCTTCATGTGTAAGTAGCATTGAAAGAGTAGTTCGAAATGCACCAGGAATAGTATCCATTGAAGTTTCTTTACTCGTTGAGCATGCAACTGTAGAATATGATCCTGCTGTTATAAATGAAGATGAAATAGTAAACATGATTAATGATATTGGGTTTGAAGCGTCTCTTATTCAACCAAGACGTCAAGATACTGTGGAATTTCGAGTTCATGGAATGAATGCTCCAGATGATGCTAGTAGAATTGAAAATGGCTTAAAAGAAATTCCCGGTGTCATTCATGCCTCAGTTGATTTTATCAGTAACATTGCCATTATAAAATTTGATAACGATGTTTTAGGAATTAGAGAATTAGTCTTTGAAATTAAAAATATTGGATTCGATGCAATTATAAACGATGACACAAATAACGCACAATTAGAATCATTATCTCGCACTAAAGAAATCATTGCATGTCGTAAATCATTCTATTGGTCACTTTTATTTGCTATACCAGTCTTTATAATTTGCATGGTTATGCCACAATTTGAATGGGGGTCAGAGTTGAATAATCTTCAGTTAATAGAAGGACTTTATTATAGTGACCTCATTTCACTTGTGTTGACTATACCAGTTCAATTTGGAATTGGTAAAAAATTTTATGTTTTATCATTTAAAGCTCTAAAACATAAATCAGCGACCATGGATGTATTAGTAGTCATCGGAACATCTGCTGCATTTTTTTATTCATGTTTTATCATGTTTGTTATGTTCTTTTATCAAATTGAAAGACAACCTGTTTTTTATGATACATCGACCATGTTGATTACTTTTGTGTTACTAGGTCGATATTTAGAAAACAAGGCTAAAGGTCAAACTTCAACAGCATTATCGAAACTAATGTCACTTACACCTTCAAACGCCACAATTCTTATCAAAAACATTGAAACCGGTGTAACTATTGAAGAAAGATCTATCCCTACTGAGTTATTACAAGTTGGGGATATCGTTAAAATTATTCCAGGAGATAAGATTCCTGCCGATGGTATTGTATTATCCGGACAATCAACGGTTGATGAATCCATGGTAACAGGTGAAGCATTACCCATAAAGAAACGTCAAAATGATTCAGTGATCGGTGGAACAGTTAATGGTTCAGGAACATTCGAAATGAGAATTACGCATGCAGGAAACGATACTGCATTGGCACAAATAGTAAAACTTGTAAAAGAAGCGCAAACTTCAAAAGCACCAATACAAGAACTTGCAGATACTGTAGCTGGATATTTTGTGCCCGTAGTTATAACATTGGGTGTTCTAACATTTGTCACTTGGATGATTCTTTCAAAAATTTTAGATCCACCTCCAGACATTTTTAATAATGAAAATGACCGTTTAGTAATGTGTCTTAAACTTAGCATTTCTGTAATTGTAGTTGCATGTCCATGCGCTTTGGGACTTAGTACACCAACTGCTGTAATGGTTGGAACTGGAGTCGGAGCTCAGAATGGAATATTAATTAAAGGTGGTAGTTCACTTGAATCCGGATATAAAGTTAATCAAGTAATCTTTGATAAGACCGGGACTTTAACCAAAGGTCAACTAGACGTAGCACACTTTGAACTTTTAACAGATAACCTAGAAATAACAAAAGAAACATTCTTTGCCATCGTTGGTGCTGCAGAAACATTTAGCGAACATCCTTATGGAAAGGCAATTGTAACTTTTGGAAAACAGCTTTTAGAAATAGATAATTATGATGCTGAAATTAATGATTTCGAAGCAATCACTGGACAAGGTATAAAATGCAATGTTATCCTAAACACTTCATACTCTGAAGTACCACCAATAACAAACGTCACGAGCACTGTAGGCAAACCTTTTAAAGTCTTGGTCGGAAATCTTAAATTAATTTCCGAAGAACATCAAATAATGATTCCACCTTCAGTCATAGACATCGAAGAGAGACATGAATCTCTTGGACGTACGGTTGTCTTTGTAACGATTAATGATGAGTTAGCGGGGCTCATATGTCTTTCTGATACAATTAAACCAGAAGCTAAACTTGCGGTCGCTGCATTGCACAAAATGGGTATAGGAGTTACAATGGTCACGGGTGATCGGTTGTTAACAGCTCAATCAATAGCAAACCAGTGTGGCATTACTAACATTCGTGCTGGTGTATCTCCTAAAGGTAAAACGCTCATTGTTAAGTCCCTTCAACAAGAAAGACCTGGTAATGTGGTTGCGATGGTTGGAGATGGAATAAATGATTCCCCTGCATTAGCAGCAGCTGATGTAGGAATTGCTCTTTGTTCAGGAACAGATGTCGCTATCGAGGCTGCAGACATGGTTCTTATGAGATCAGATCTTTTAGATGTTGTAGCTGCATTAGACTTGTCGCGTACAATTTTCCGTAGGATTAGACTAAATTATGTGTGGGCTTCTCTGTACAATGTTCTTGGAATTCCTATAGCTATGGGTGTCTTTATTCCATGGGGAATATATTTACATCCAATGATGGCAGGAACTGCTATGGTTTTTTCGAGTGTTAGTGTTGTATGTTCTAGCTTGATGCTCAGGTGGTGGACTAAACCTGTATGGGTAAACACTAGAAAAGGTGTAAAGAAACTTAATGCTGGAAATCGATTTGTGATTGGAATAAAAAACCTTTTTAGATCGAAGAGCACTACACTAGATGAACTTGGATACACGCGTTTGTCAGGAGCCAATTGATTTTATTGCAGAAAAGGCATATGCTCTGGATATAGTAAATGTTAACCAATAGTGGCTCTCTAATAACTCGCACATGTTTGGTGAAATTAGCATCGCAGTTACACTAGGGAATGAAACATCGAACTATGGAATGGAAATTCTATATTCCGGTTCAATTTCATATCTCCATTTACACGCAAATATACATAATTTTAGAGAATACAGAGATTATCAAACATCATAAATGGTCATATTAAGTATATTCCTTTTCCGTTTTTTTTTTTTTCAAGAATATATATTAGCACACTAGTATTAAATAACAATAATCAAGATTAAAGATTATATTCAGTTTAGGATTTTTCTTGTGCAATCAAACAATTTTAGTTCTGGATGTAACTTTCGTCATAAGGAGAATGAATAATTTTTTTAATTAATCTGGAAGATCTTTATAATTAGTCTATTTTTATTAAGCAAATTCATCACACCCTTTTATCAGTTTCATGTGAGAAATTGGCTGTGAACGGCAACTTACTATAAGCGTGAATGTGAAATACAATGATAATTAATAATTATCTTTTAATGATTAGTAATTTACACTAAAAAGCCTTCGTATTAAAGTTTATTTGTGCAACATATTTAAATTTTGTACGATGAAAATTGACCTATATCATGTTACAAAATATCTTGGACAGCCAATACGGTGAACCTTCTCTATATGAACTATTCTGAGATCGTAAGACAAATTTTAAAAAATGTGCGTTTAAATAGTACATACAATTATGGAAAGCATTTTGGAATTGGGGCATTTATTTAGAACACACACTTAAAGGGAGCATATTTAGGAAGGTTCACTGTATTTGGCTTATAAATATTTAATTGCCAGAATATATTATATTTAATCAACAATCATACTATAATGAATATCCTGGGTCATATGTGTACGGGTGAAAACCCCAATAGTTTGGGAAATTATTAAGCAACCTATGATGTTTCCTTACTTAATGCTTTAAGTCAGGCTAACCTTTTTTGTATGAGCCTTTTACTTACACCATCTGGCAACCCGTATATACGATAAATCTGGGTATTATTTGCTTTCCTGAATTTTTCATTAAAACATCAGTCAAGGTTAAAGGTTAATTTTTTATTAATTGGAATTAATAATTTGCTAAATGATTTTTTTTTATTCTTTGGAAGCCTTTTTTTTTTGTTTACTAAAAATAGGCTGCAGAATAAGAACAATTTTATTAATAATACTGTTCAAGTGTTAAATATATGTACCGTATAATCGCGAAATAACGCACAGGGAAGTTGTTTTGAATAATGACCTGGATTAAATCTAATTTAGGCCGAAACTCTAAACTATACCCCTGCGCGTTATTTCGCAGTTATATGGTATATTTAAGAAATATACAGTATATTACAAGTTTTGTATTTGAAAGTGCAAAAAAAAAAATATAGTGCTAAATCCCAGTTGAAGAGTATAAACTTGTAGTAAAAATCGGTAGAGTTACACTGTACAGCGCGGACCACGGTACAATATGATAGAAAGCCGAAAGTTTCTTAAAATCATATAGTAATGGAGAGAAAATAAACCAATTTTAATAATTCTATCAGTGTTAGAACGTTCTATAATCTTTGTTAGTAAACTAAGAAAGGTTTGCTAGATTTTCCATCTTAAGCTAGCTACATAATTAATTATTAATTCCGTGATTTACTCTTAAATGATATTAAATTTAGAGACTTGTTAATGCAATTCCTACATAATTCTAATCGACCTTTAACCCTTTCGGAAACTCTATGAACAATGCTTACCTTAACTGCTAACTAATTAATCACATGAATTTGCACCATTTCTAAATACTGTCTTTAGAGATTAGGGTTATATAGGGGTGGTATTAACTGTTCTTTAAATTTACTTTGATAGATATTTGCAAATTATTATATAAATAAATTATCTTCTATTATTTTAAAATATATACTTTTTTATTTTAGATATTTAAAATTAAATACTGTATTATATGGTTCTAATACTTTTTGTCATATATAATTATACTTACAAAAGATCTTATATATTTTTAATTTACAATTTTGTTTAAAATATAATAAAAAAAGGTTTATTTTATTTTATTTTATTTTATTTTAGTGTTAAGGTAACCTCTTTGGTCTTTTGACTTTTATTAATAACTTATTGATAATGTGATTCTGTGAACCACTACAGGAAAGAATACAACTGGCTATACATGTAACTTTTCTATATTACCTATTTAAAGAGTCTGCCTAAAGGTTTCTTACCTAACATCCCTATTTGGGTGTTTCATTTTAAACTTTCTGAACCTATAATCTGTGTTAACTCACTAGGTTATATCCAAATGCTCAAAACATTGTCTTAACTTTAGAACTAATTTATTCTTAAGGTAAACTTCCCAGAGGTTTCTGTACTCATTTTTATAGTTGATTTAGTTATTACTATGACAGAACTAACACTTGTAGTCAAAGTTATATTATTTAATCACTATGCTCTTGTAGAATTTACACAGACCTAACATTTACTTCATATTATAATCTTAGTACTTTAGTATATTACTGTCTTTTTATTTGTCTTTTTATCAAACTCCTAATCTAGATAGATCATGTAGAATTATAACTAGTCTATTGGTATATCAGATTGGTTCAATATTCTTTTTATCTTATTCATTTTGGTGGTCTGGTTGATGATATCTTCAAGACTTCCAACCTGAAGATTCTTGTCTGTCTGGTTATTATAATTAGGTATTATGATCTTGGTATCCATTTTTTTGTACTAGTTTTTACAGTAAAGTCATCAAAGATGATTTTAGTGCATTTTATAGTAAAATAAATATTAATAAAAACTAAAATTTTAATTAATGTTAGAATTAGAAATAGAATAAAATTGTAAAAAGAACATTTATTATTATTATTATTATTATTAATTTTTTTTTTTTTTTTTTTTTTTTTTTTTTAAAGAGAGGTCTATTCTTTATCTCTTTTATTAATTAGTAAATTTACATATATAAGATACATGTTGAATAAACTAAGCTAGGGGAGATAAGGGTAAGAGCTATTTTACTCTTGACCTATTCTTTGCTAGAATGGTCGGTAGACCTTTAGTCTATGATAAGATGACTAAGAGAAGATTGTCTACGTGTAATGTATTGATCTATTTTTTTATTTAGTAAGGAGGGTAAAATTGGTTTAGTCTTGTTTAATACTGGGGTCTATAGTGGTAATGGAGTTGGATGAAAGGAGTCATGTTGTATTGCTCTAGATGGGAGTCAAACTTCTTTATATATTTCAGAGATGATGTTATGATGAATAAGAGGAGCATACTTGAGTTTATGTTTGTTGTTTTTGAAAAGTGCTAGAGTGCTGTTAGTTATAATCCCTAATGGTATTTGTTTATCAATATGATTTGAGGTAAAGGCTTGGATAAAACTATTTATATTGTAACTAGATATTTCTAGATTGTTTGTTGTTTGGTATATTGCATGTCTAATTAGAGTTG